GTTATTGTTCTTTTCCAAATTAGTATTTCTCTCTTCTTTAATTCCAACGAGTCAATCCGACCGTGCAAGAAGGGATAACCGTTACAACTTTCTGGAAAAGCGATTATGCCTCAATTCGCCAATTATTTTAGCAACATGTATATAGACACTTACAAAGTGTTCTTCTATTTCAATCCATTGGGCTAGAAAGAAGTCGGCGCTGCTGGCTGCTAATTGTGTCAATATAAAAAGCATAGCCACAATGGACATCACGCACCAGTTTCCGCCAGCGCGTAAGTAATTCGTATAAACTCTGCCGGAAACATTGCCTACTGTTCGCATCTCAGCCACCTGAAATTAACGATTAAAATTTAACTTATAATTTAGCGTTAAAATATAAACTTTTTCCAACGACAGATGAAAGAACATTCACGTATTTGAAATTAATATGCGTACTTCTGAATAAAAGTAAACTCATTATTTAATTATTAAGGATCAACAAGTTCCTACGATTTTTCTGAAAAAGGCAAATAAAAATTCGATCTGATATGTCACTCAATCTGCATTAAAGTGTAGCCGACATGCAAATAATTTTATGTATCACTGTATTTTAAGAACAAAGTTGCAAAATTCGACTTTATACGGACCTTCGAAGCTTTATTTAAAAAAAGAGGAGTTATAAGATTTCATGGCGATACGAATGTTACTTCTACGAAGTAAAATATGATAATTGAACAGACACATATTTACATGCCAGAAATAAAAAAACAAATGGTTCTGTTTATTATAATTATTAAAAAATCAAATTGCACAAAATCTGATTGTCAGACGTAGAAATTTTTTTTAGTTTTACATTTTTGTAAAAAAAATCAAAAAGATTGCATTGGCTAAATATTTCTTCTACCAGACAAAATATAGTAGAATATTATACAGATATGACATGAGTTAATTGGCTCGTTACTTCTGCCGACCCATTAAACGTCAATATGGTAATATTTTTTCTAATCTTAATATGTTAAAATCTAACTTACAATTAGAAAAGATAAAATACTTGAACTAATGTTTCGCTATATTTAAGATACAATTATTCTAAATCACAATGTTAGTTAAATACGATATATAGTAGTTACTTCAGAAAATAAATAATTAGAAAATAAGTCCAAATTACTTCAGCAGGCCCTTGTTTCGAAGTGTCGTCAATCATAAAGGAATTCAAGGATTTGATACTGCTGGTGTGTGAATTTCTACGGCTAGCAGAAGCCAAAAGGGGCGGAGAGGATTTCTCATTCGTCTCCCATTGGTTTTCCAATAACCGACCGAAATCCACTCTCATAGAGCTCAGTTCGTCATAAGTCCTGATGAACAAAAAATTTTATACTATAAAGCAATAGAAGTGAATATAAATATTCGCTTCAACTTCCAAGCGAATTTTTTGAAAATAAAAATATATTTGTTACACGGCGTTACAAGGCGGGTATACGTGCATTTAAATATTCCATGTCAATATTAGTATTTGTGTTTTTTTTTTGCAAAGAGACAATGATTCCTAACGTTTAGAAAACGATTGATATAAGGACTTAAAATAGAACGTTTTGCTTTATCACCAGATAGATAAGCCCAAAGTGATTAGTTCCGTTAAAGGCCATTAAATGTTCTCGCACGTGTACCTGAGTCATATAGATACTGTAACCTACTGATAAAGAGAATTTTAATAAAAATAAGTTCTTTTTCGTTTTAGTTTACAAATAATATTCCCATTCGTTTTTCATTCCTCTCCTTGTGATAAAGGATCAAGGTTTTAATCGTAAAGATGAGACAAAGCAATACAATAAATATATGAATAAACGTGAAATATATTTGATGTCAATGTTTTACTTCATTATAGAAATTGTAGCAAGATTATAATATGTAAGATACAAATTAAGAGAAATAGAAAGAAAGTGCAATATTACCCTTCAGCCTGAATAGTTCCGTTCTTCAAAACAATAATTCTATCGACGTTGCGTAAGTATTGCAATTGATGAGTCACAAGAATCCGAGTCTTGTTTCCGAGATATTTGTTGATGCATTTTTCAAACATACACTTGCCCACATGGGCATCTACGGCGCTCAAAGGATCGTCCATGAGGTATATGTCAGCGTCGGCATAAACGGCTCTCGCTAAGTTTATTCTATCATTTATCAATATCTCATTATTATTATAATACATATTATAACCAATGTGTTTTTTCTAACTAATTATATTTTATATACAATACAAAAACTTCGAAAATAATTAATTGAAATTTG